GTGAGCAAGTTTTCAATGTTTCAACAGAGGTAGGAGTTGGTGTTTCCCATTTAGGCATCTCCTGGATTTCTTTCCTTAAGTAAAAGGCAGCACTTCGTATGATGGTGTGGCGTTCCTCTTTTTCATTCTGCAGGCTAGCTCTTGCAACATCTTCAGATAAAGCCGAACTGTACAGGAAATTCCCTTTACGGTGGTCAAAAAGAGCTGTAGATATTCTTTCTTCAAATCTGTCCTGAATTTTTCGCACCAATGCCTGGGGTGTGTAACTCGCGATGTCCTCCTCTGTTCCACCATTTCCCATATATTCTGCTTTGTACATGTTAAATAATGATGAAACCAGTATTGCCTGACCATTTTCAATCACTTCTGTCGTAATAAATGTGGCAAAAGTTCCGAAGGTCTCTGCATGTAACTGCCTGTTCGTAGCATGTGTTGCCTGCATCTTTTGGGGTCCCTCAATCTCCTTTTACGACGACAGGACACGGTATCAAAAATTACGACGACAGGACTTGTGATACTGTGCCTCTTTCGCGATTAGATCAATACGGACTAAACCTTTGATCCTCTCATTGGTACTGTGAGGGGCTGCCGCAATGATTTTATCGCAACCTTCTATCGTAAGACAATCTGAAAGTGTCTCTTGTTTCTGTTTTACAGTTTTCCTCACTTTCCCACAGAAGATACAGGATCCTTTAAGCAAACCTGCTGCATCGTCTTGAGGAATTAAACTCCTTCGTCTTGTATCCGGCTTTTTCACTGGGGGTTCATCCTTGCTCAGATATGTTGGTCGTTTTGCAGCTGTGAAATTCTTATAGCATGGTGTTGAATGATAAACAGCAGTGCCATGGCCTGTTTGTAAGTTGATCTCTATAGTCACATCTCTGTATTTATCTGTCTTAAACTGTAGTCTTAACTCTGCTGCTTTCTTCAGACGCGCCCAAGTTCCATCATCAAACTCTTTCAGCCCAGTCCCATCACTGGTTTTGCATATGATGCACGATCTCTGGGGCTCATCTTGTAAGGTCTGGATACTGCTACCCCCAGCATCAGTTTCCTGAAACAATGTAAAGGTTCAACCCAATTGCTTCCAACCTACCTTGATTCATCATTGCTATAATAATTAAATGTGATACTCCTACTGATCACAAGTAAAGTATCATGCCAGTCATCCAAGTACCGGGATCAACGCTGTTGCCATTGCATCGTTTTGACTTGAACAAGTGTAAAGTGGGACTCACCATTTCAGGTAGAATGTCTGAATTTTCATCTTCCATTTTTTCAACCAAGTTGGGTTTCAAAACATTTGTGACATGTTTTACATCTGAAAGAATGGACCCAAACTTGTAGTAGACTCGCTAGTAGGGGAGCCACACCACAAATAGGCCTGGTAGTTGAAAGTTCAGTGGGTGTGGATACTGTCATATAGTATGCTGAATTGGGATACTGAGCATTTTGAACGGCAAGGAGCTCAAAGGGGTGTCAAAATTTATAACCATATTGTATTTTATAATGTACTAGCTGAATACCCGGCGTTGCCCAGGGTAAAGTGAGAATGAAAGAGGGCTACATATATATTTTACATTTGTTGCCAGTGTTTGGTATCAGTGGTGCAGGGCCTCAGGGTAGACGACGTTGCGCGTATGATTGTTTGGTGCGAGGATGCTGAGATGCAGTGCGCTGCCGGTGCAAGAGGCAGCCACATACAGCTGGCCGTGGGAGAAGCACGGGACAGAGAGGTCGAGACCAATCGCTTTGAATGTTTGTCCTTAGGCCTTGAGCCTTTTCGCATGCATTCTCGGAATGAGGCTGTATAATGTTACAGTGGAACTTTAGCCGGCTCAAGGATAGAGAGCATGTCCAGTCCTATCCTATCAACTAACACCATCCTATCCAATCACCACCCTGGACATCATCTCTATCCTTGAACCCTCTAGCCTACGTTCCACTGGAGGAACAGGACGTCCAGGAACAGATCGAACAGGAGGAACAGAAGCTAATGTTAGTTACTGTACGTGCAATATTTATGCTGCTGAAACTGCGTTGCTTGCGTTAATGAATGAGCTAGCTGAGTTGAGCAATAAGTTGAGTAGAGTTATAGCTTCAGTACTGAGTTCAGTGAGTAGCTTTCAGTACATTTAGCTTCAGTACTAATATTAATAAGTCAGCCTAGCCAATACTTCAGCCTGTACGCTTCCTAGATCGAGTTCTCACCTGCTCACGATGTTGACTGTGTTCACGTGTACTGTGTAGCGCACCAACAACAATCTCGCACGTTGCCGCCATCTATTGACGAATAGTAAAGTATTAACTACATTTTAGTAAGTTAGTTATTAATTTTTAACTTTTTAATTTTTGTAATTTTGGTTTCGCGCAGTACCATTTCCCAGACGTGGTGATTCTGAAAATATCTTTAGTTTTCCTCTAGGCTGCAGGGTTCTCTAGTTCTCGGAGTACGAACTAATTGGGCTGAACAACTTACCTACAATTATTATGTATTAGCCTACCTACAAGGAAAGTCCTCCTGCAAAAAGATCCAGATCTATGCACATCTGACATGTCTTGCACACATTAAAACAGATAACCTATAAGATACATGAACCGTAGGGCTTATCCTATTTTCACATTAGATATCATGGATTTAGGTATAGGCAAGGTATGGTGTACACCCGGGGGTGTACAGGCCTATATAGGCCTAATATAGCCTACCATGCATCGCTTGATGATGGGGTATGGCCGGGTGATGGGTCCTAGCTATATTCATACATGTACACACAAGGGGTCTGTTATATTTTGAACAACACTTTTCTTTTTGATCTAATTAAATACCTTAACTCTTTAGAATTTTCAAAAAAGCATTGACAATATCTGAAAAATTATCTGATAACACGTGCGTTCCTGCGTTGTTGTTGTTACGTTGTTGTTGTTGTTGTTGAGGGACGGCGATTCCAACTGGGCCTGGGGTAGGCCTAGATGTACGGTTGGGGGTTCTGGAGGCGCCAATGCATTGGGAATAATTTCTGTCATTGCCCATTTTGTATTCCCTGAGAAGTGCTTTGTCAATTAAACCTAGTTTCAAGTGGTACCTATAACATCTAGACTAGCCTAGATGGGCCAAGGGGTCTATTTTGGGGGTCTGGCAGGACCAACACATTGGAATACATTTCTGTCATTGCCCATTTTGTATTCCCAGAGGAGTGCTTTGTCACTTAAACCTAGTTTCAAGTGGTACCTATAACATCTAGGCCAGCCTAGATGTACACAGTCCGCGCCAGCGGGTAACAATATTTGAGGGGTGTCTGGCACCCCCTTGTACACACAGCGCAAAGCATTTCTGGCGTAGGCGTTTTGTGCTCTTATGGAATGAACCTGATCATTTGGCATCACTTTCACTTGGTACCTGTCTCGTCTATTCTAGCCTAAATATTTGGGCCCTTTTGGGGGGTCTGGCGGGCCTTTAACAACAGCGAAAATTTCTGTCGTATATGTTTTTGATGTATATTTAGCAGTTACCTCACCATGGTACTTATTGCAATTGGTACCATGCTCATCTATTTCAGACCCGTTTTTTACACCCTTTTGGAGGGTCCCCTGGCTCTACGCAACGGGGGGTACCCGCCAGAATAGCATTTCTATAAGTCTTAGGTGATACCCTGTATACTCCAATACGTAGATATTGGTACCTAGTTCGTCTACCCTGAAGCCTCTGGGCTGCCGGTCTATAGTGGTTACCCTCAATATTTTATTCAATCACACTATCATTAAGGCTTCTAAAAGAAAGGGGATATCACCTTATGTAACCAAATCATATTGTGCATTGTTATATGGGAGATGGCAGCATCGTCCAGCATCATGATTGAAGCCACCATTACCATGAGGTGTGGCTGGGCAATTCCATGGTTAGTAACGTTACATTTTTAGCATATTTTCTTACCCTTTTCTACTGCAACATCACCATCTATTCATTTCAAGTCCTAATCATGTTACAACATGTTCACCCACCCTAGATCTATAATACAGAAAATAATGAAAACAATTAAAAAAATATTAGAGTTGCCATGGTAACTTTTAATATCAGTTAGTAACGTTACAAAAAAGGACATGGGAAAAAATTCAATGTATTCAGACAAAAAGTTTCCTAAAATGTGAGATACCTCAAACAAAGTGCCATATTCATTTTACTCTAGTTTGATGACAAATGTTTCAGCCAATAATTTTAGCAGCTTGATTCTTCATTTTTTAATTAGACCAAAAAATCATGGTTAGTCACGTTACGGTTAGTAACGTTACAGTTTGTCCGTGCAAAGGTACGAGTTACAAAACATCATGTTTGACCCTCCCCCTTCCTTAAAATCACAAGATACATTTAGGAATTACATGTATGTAAAGTAACATACTTATAAATCCATATTATTATTATTTAAACTTGCCACATTCAAAACATATAAAATTACAACATATTTTATCCACTACATTCCACAGTTCAACCTTTGCCAATGGATATGTTTATAATGCATGTCATTAAAATGACAATGTATTTCCACCAAGTAACTTAAAGCATTTAAATTGAATTCATATTATAACAGACAAATTTTGAGTAGAGATTAATTCCATAATACAAAACAATGGTCATTTGTTGACTTGTACAATAATCCAATACATGTTCCAATTTATAACTTTATAAAAACTTAAAAAGTACTTTGGCCTTAGTTTCAACTTCCCTTTTTAAATCAAATGATATCCTGAGCTCTTTTTTACTACAAACCTCTTCAGAGAAATCTATTAAGAAATCTTAATAATTTTTATTCTTTTTTTGTCAGAAATACAGTTTGTGCACATACTGTATATGATGCAAATTCATGTTCTTAGTGTCATATTGTATCCTGAATGATGCAGTCTAATTACATAGTAATAAAAATGTCATTGCAGTTCTTTTGCATTCTTTTAAGGGCAATGTCTTTTTTCCCAGTGATTAAAAGAGAGAAACTTGAACAGTCAGTTGCAGTCTTATGCATTGATCCTTGATAAAATTCAACTGGCTGTAAGGATTGTAACGTTACTAACCATAACATTAGTGAAAGAGATTACATTATGAGCAGGTCCTAATCAGAATTGAGTGAAAAGATATATATATAATATCAACCATTGTTCTATACTGCCCTCTTTTGTCTTAGTTTATCAATAAGTTCAACTCTTTAGCTGATGTTCGTACTAGTTTTATTCATCATCAACCAATGATAACAGCGTCTAAAACACGTAAGACAAAAGAAACGAAATAAGTGTGAGGACATAGTCCTATATGCCCCCCCCCCAGTCTTTGGGAACGACAAAGACGAAATAATGTACGGCATCCCCGACTACAAAAACATGAAAAAGTATGAACACTTATCGTAAGTATAACATCCGCGCACAAAGTCTAAAGTATATGTGTGCAACGATATGCCAAAGGTCTATGAAGCCCGAGAGGGTCAAATACTAAGTGTCATCCCGACCCATCCGGCGGTCATCCCGGCGGTGGCGCAGGGGAGATGGGGGCGCCACAGCAGGGGCTAGCGGTTCCTTCAGGCCTGGGGCGTTGTGAGGCATCAGGGCACGAAGGGCTCGGGGGACTCGGCCGTTGGCTGCTAGGCTCGGTGGTGATGGTAGAGCCGTTGATGGAGAAGCCATGGCGGGAGATCGAGGTGTCGAGGCCAAGTCGGTCCGAATAGGGGGCAGGCTGGTACCAGTAGGGCGAGACTCAGCCGTTGGTGTGGCTGGGGTGGCGGGTAGCAGCTGGCCAGCCACTCGTGCAGGTGCAGTAGGTCCCCGGCCCGGAGTAGGGAGGGGTGCAGGTACCGGCGGTGTTGGTGGGCCAGGTGCCATCAGGAGTGGTGCACGTGGGATGACTGGGATGTATTGCCGCAGGAACTTCCTGTTCCGGAGAGTAACTCTACCAGAGCCATCAACCCACACGACGTATTGGTCGAATTGCCTCACCTCCACTACGATCCCGGTTTTGTCCCACTTTGTCGGGTTGGGGCCAGTTTGATTCTGGATCCTAACGTAGTCTCCGATGGTCAGTGGTGGGAGAGGGCGGGTGTGCTCTGATAGGCGCTCGGCAGAGCGCATGTGCCTGTTACGCAGAGCCTCTTCCCGGGATGTGAATGTCTCGCGCCACGTGCTGTGCGGTTGGTACTTCCCCGGGTGAATGGGAATGAAATCACGGATGGGGCGTCCGAAGACACACATGGCGGGGGAGAGATGTGTATCACGGTCAGGCGTGTTGCGGTACTGGAGGATGGCGCGTTGGAACTCATTCGTGTTGAGAGAGCCCTCAGCGTCAGTGTTGTCAGTGAGGAGGCGCTTGACAGTCTTGACCCCCACCTCTGCGCGGCAGTTGCTGTGGGGGAAAGCAACGGATGACGTTCGGTGATTCACACCCCAGTCACGTAGAAAATTGCGGGTGGCGCCTGCCGCAAATTCGGGGCCACCATCCGATGACAGCTCGTCGTTGATGCTGAAAGTCACGAAGACGCGGCGCAGGGCAGCAATTAGTCCTTTGGCACCATTGGCGGCCTGCTCAACGATCGGCCAGTTGCTGTGCCGATCCAACACAACCAGGTAGTTCCGACCACGGTAGATGAAGTAGTCAGCGGCGATGCATTGAAATGGATAGTCCGGCTGTACAGGCCGTGCTGTGAAGGTGCCATGCGGTTGCAGGGAGAGCAGCGTGCCCGTATCTCAGTGATGGCAGGAGTCATGCCCGGCCAGAAGAATGAGGACTCTGCCCGTGAGCACATCATGGTGACACTCTGGTGGGCTGAATGCAATGCCTGGAGTACCCGGTCACGGAGTGATGGAGGAATGATGATGCGGTCCTTGTAGAGGCATACCCCATCAAATTCTGTGAGGTTTACGCGAAACTGGGGGGATAGTTGGAGTTCGTGAGGGAGATCACTAGGCAGCTCGGGGAAGCCCTCCTGGATGAACCCAGCCAATCTGCACATGGTTGGGTCACTGGACGTGGCGACACGGACATCGTCCCATGTGATGGACTTGATCACCTCCGTGGGCCGTAATGTCGACTGACTGCAGATTTGGACAGGGTCCGGGTCGTGGGTACGGATAGCAGCGATGAAGTCACGGGGCAGCTCAGGTGGTTGGTAGCAGTCGATGACCACTCCGACAGGTGCCACATCGTCCGGGAGATTGAGTAGGGTGGCCTCTCCAACTGGGTGTCGTGAAACTCCGTCAGCTGCAGCGTGGCGTATGCCAGATATGTGAACCATCCGGAAGAGGTAGCGTAGTGACTTCTCCTTCAGGTTGCGGAGTCGGGGGTTCGGAATTTCGTCAAGCGATCGGTCGCCAATCTTCAGGAGGGGCTTGTGGTCCACTGCGACGATGAGGTCCGAGCAGCCGAGGAAAAAATGGCTGGTTTTGTCAAGGGCATCGACAACTGCGAGAGCCACTCCCTCCACCGGGGCATAGCGGGACTCCGCGCCTGAGGTGAATCGGCTCCCGACAAGTGTGATCCTCCAGCCGGTCTTGCAGCAAAAAGGGTTGGTGGAGGGGCAGGCACAATGCTTCTGGAAAAGCCAAAATCCGATGCCATCTTTGCTCCAGTCTGTTGCGAGGCAGGTCGGTTTGTTCTTGTCAAATATTTCCACCCCTTTATGAATCTCGCCGATGATGATGGATTTTGACTCCTCAAACAGGCGGTTCAGCTGGTCGGTCCACTGGAAGGGTGTGCCAGGTTTGAGGAGGGTGCGGAAGGGGAGCAAGCGTTCGGTCGAGGCGAAGGCATATGAGACCTGGTTGATGAGGCCGAACCAGCTACGCACATCTGTGATGTTGCGAGGGGTGGGGAAGTCCTGGATGGCCTCGAGGTAGCGAGAGCAGGGGCGCACGGAAGTCGGTGTGACCTCAAAGCCGGCAAACTCCGTAGTCATCATGGCAACCGAGAACTTCGCAGGGTTTAGTGTGATGCCATTGTGGCCGCAGGTGTCGAGCCACCTAACGCTGGAAGAATGCGTCCTCAATGGTGTCTGCCCACATCAGCGTGTCGTCCACACACTTGGTCTTCTGTGGGATCTCAGAGACAACCTCATCAAATCGGCGGCTGTATCCGTCGCCTGAAGCCACATAGCCTTGAGGGGCAACGCGGTAGCAGTAGCGACCCCAGGGTGTGATGAATGTGGTGAGATGGCGGTCGTCCTCGTGCAGCGCGACGCTGTGGTACCCATTCCATGCATCAAAGACAGTCTTGCGAACATTTGGTGGTACTGCACGCGCCTGGGGGAAGGGGGACTGTGTGTGGTGGGTCTCACGAACCGCGTGGTGGTTGAGTGGCTGGAGGTCCACGGTCCGCCTTGGCTTGCCAGACTTCTTCGGGCAGATCACCATTTTGTGGCACCATGTGACTGGGGTGCCGACTGGGACTGGTTCAATGACACCGAGTCGTACATCTTGGTCGAGGCCTGCCTTCACGTCACCCTGCCAGTGTATGGGGACGGGGATGGGAGTGTGGAAAGCGACAGGTCGAGCGTCAGGGTCAACCATGAGCCGAAACGGGGGACCAGCCATCATTGGGAGTGGTTGGTGCTCGCAAACGTTGAAGGTGCTCGAATTGTAGTGTTCGAGCAACCACTTCTCAAGTTTCTCTCGGTTCTCCTCAGTAGCTGGGAAGGGGAGTGACGTGGGTGTAGTGGGTGGCATCTGGCGTCGAGGGCAGTCGCAAGAGGGTGTGAGGCAGGATGTAGGTTTGAGCGATGCTATCGTGGCAGAGGCTGCAATGCTGGGACTGCTGGGTTTGGCTGCCTCACCGATAGTGGGTAACCTGCTAGAGATCATGCCAAGAGCGACACACGCTTGCTTCAATAGGTATAGCCTGTCGGATGAATCAGTAAAGTATGTTATCTGCCGTGTTTCCAGAGTCTCTCCTGATGGGGAAGTGCCGGCGATGCGGAGGACCAGAGCACCTGCTATACGAATACCGCTTTTATTGGCAGCAGTCATTCTCATTGTGACAGGGATGAGATGTCTCCTCTCCAGCCCCAGTTTGGACAATAGTTTTGTGCTGGCTAAGCATGACTGGCAGCCAGTATCAGCCATGGCAGGGTAGGAGGCTGATGGTGTTGGGCCGTGGGTGGGGGTAGGGAGGCCAAGGTCTTGGGCATCAAGCGGGTTTGCCGTGACGGAGACGTTGATAAAGGGTTGGGGGTCAGATGCGCGCCGCTCCCATGCATTGCAGAACTCATTGTAAATGTGGTGCCCGAGCGTGATAGCATGGGTGCCCATAGGTGAGGCATCATTGACCGAGCACAAAGATTGGAAGATAGCGGTAGCATCGACGTGTGACACCTGTGCATTGGTCACTGGTGGCGGTTGTCTCCGCTGTGACTGACGGCACACACTCTCATGATGGTGGAGCAGTCCGCACTTCACGCAAGTGTGATTGTACGCAGTGCACTTCCTCATGCGTTCCTGTTTGGCGCTTGTGTGGCCTGGCTTGCCGCAGTGGCCGCACAATGGGTACTTGGTGTCACGGGGCTGTGTCTTGTCCTTCTCCCGACGTTTGTAGGAGCTGGTAACGGCTGCAGTCGTAGCGGTGCCGCCCTCCAGGAGACGACCTGCGGAGCGCCGACCACTCTCTTTGGCCTCCACATTTTGTAGCACCCTCTCCAAACACATGTCCTGTTGGGATTGTCCAAGGATGTCCAGGCGGATCTCTTCATCCTCTAGTCCACGGATGAGCGCATCCCTAATCATGATGTCACTGAAATCAACAACTAGGGTGCATGGACAGTCCTTCCTGTAGTTGCAGACACTGGCCTGGCCGCGAAGGCGAGCGGCGAAGGCCCTCACTGGCTCATCGCGGTCCTGGCGCATTTGCTGGAGCTGCATCCGGGCCACCATAATGTTCTCTTGGCGGACTGCCAAGCTTTTGATGTTCGTGAGGATAGTCTGCTCATCCCTAGATGTCAGGGCTCCAAAAGTTCTGGTCAGATCTCTCCTGAGTCCTTCATCGCAGCATTCAAGCAGCTGGTAAGCGATGTCAGGTCCCGTGAGGTGGGTGGCCGCTTTGTATTCTGACCACCTTAGTTCGAAGTAAGACCATTCCTCACTTGTTCCTGCAGCCGTGACCACTGGTCGTTTAACCTTCTCCACTTTGGCGGCGCATGAGGCGGGAGCAGGTGTCGAGGCAGAGGTGGTCGGATGGGCAGTGCGGGCATGGAGGTTGATCAAGCTTAGGAGGATCTCCGGGGGCGTTGTGCTAGGCCATGATGTTTCGCAACCAGGGGCTGAGCAGTCGATGCGGTCCATCACGACGCTGTTATCATCAATAAGTTCAACTCTTTAGCTGATGTTCGTACTAGTTTTATTCATCATCAACCAATGATAACAGCGTCTAAAACACGTAAGACAAAAGAAACGAAATAAGTGTGAGGACATAGTCCTATAGTTTATATATCTTTTCACTCACTTCTGATTAGGACCTGCTCATAATGTATCTCTTTCACTAATGTTATGGTTAGTAACGTTACAATCCTTACAGTCAGGTTAGTAACGTTACATGGTTAGTAACGTTACAGATTTTGACTGCTTATACTTTACACATCATAGAATATTTGTAATACTTGTTCCTAAATTTTAATACAGCATTGCATAGAATAGGAAAATTTGAAATATTACAATTCATAGCCATATATTGCTTTTTCTCTGTAGAAAAATAAATTCATGTTTTGGTTAGTAACGTTACATGGCTTACCAAGGGTTTTGAATTTCACAATCTGTTGACTAAATCAATTTTTATCCTAAATTTTGTATGACAAATCTATCAGAGCATTGTACTCACTAAATAATTTTGATGAGTTTGTGTGGATATATAGTTATTTTAATGCTTATAATGGCTTGATTAACTTTTTCTTATCTTACATGAGAAATTACACAGGAAAACATCACCAATATAAATTCGCTATTTTTACATTCTTATACCAAAGACACACCAAGATAAATGTTTTTTCCAGAAACTTTGAAGTGGCTTTAGTCACGTACAAGGAAAATATGCATGAAAAAGACCATTTGAAATTTTAGGGTCATGTCCTCCTAATTATGGAATTGCCCGGATGTGTCAAGTTAACAGTAAACGGCTGTGTTTAAGTTGGACTTTCGTTTTATATATCATGACTAGAAAACATTACACATGGTGTCACATTCATGGTGTGAATTCGACCAATTTCGCAATTCGGCAATAGAGTTGGCGAAAATAGAACAAGTTCCAATCTCCCAACTAGTTGCTATGGACCAGTTGCTCGCGCAGCTTTTACGTTTACACTGCCGATTGTTGGTTGTATAATTGCGAAGTTGGTCCAATTCGCCAATTTGTCTGCATAAAGTCGGTAGTGTAAACCCAGCTTTGATAAGACTCTGGTAAAGCAGCACATATTGAGCCCACGCAGAACAAACGGTGTGTAATTTTTATGCTATAATATTACCGTAATTAAAGGGGGTGCAAATACAGTTTATGACGTCCAGTATGGCGGCGCAGTTTTACACTACCGCCATCTACCGCCCGATCTAAGAAACTATGGGAATGTATCGGAGCGTATCGTATTGACCGTATCGTATTACTGCGCCTATAGGCGATCTGCACACATAAAGTGTATTCAGCTTAATAACGATTAATAATAATTATTATTCGGTTTAATTACTATATGTACATTAACCTGCACGTGTTTACGTTTATCTGTGTGCGTGGTAGGTTTAGCAAACCATATTTAGTATGAATTCGAAGCGTGTTTATAAACCGCCGGTCATACGCGGGGCTCATAAAATGAGCCTCACGAATAGCAGCGCTACATGGCGGCGTACGT